CTTAACCCCAAGGCCTCCCAATGACATCTTCAAACCTTCGTCTACTACAGTTGAACATCATGAAATCCAGGGCGGGAATGGAAGCCCTTATCAACGACCCCCAGACCCAGAACCTTGATGTATTATTGATCCAGGAACCACCGATCACTGCATATCACACACATGTGAACCACAGCGCATGGCGACTGTACCGCCCCACATATGCTGACGAATCAGCCAGATGCCGCAGCCTCCTCTATGTGAATCAGAGGATCTCAACCTCATCACATCAGCAGATACACTGCAACCACCCTGATATCACTGCAGTCAAGATATGGACCACTGAAATGCAATATCTCCTCTTCTCAGTGTACATCCCACCAGCGGCAATATATCAGCCGCCAGATGCAACCACTGCCCAACTGGTACTAAAAGAAATTCAAGCCAGCATCCAGCAGCAAGCCGCAGGAATGGATAAGGTGACCAAACTCATTATTGCTGGGGACTTCAACCGCCATCACCCAGCATGGAGCCATCGCCCTGTCCACCATATCTTTGCAGAACACGCAGAAGAGATAATCAACTTCTTCCAAGCACAAGGGCTCCAATGGTGCCTGCCCCGAGGCACACCCACTTTTTGGTCACTGAGCGACCCTGGGAAAACATCTGTCCTAGACCTCACGCTAACTAACGACCCGACGAGGCTCATCAAATGCCAACTCTACCACGACCATTATGGATCGGACCACCGCGGAACATACTCAGAATGGAACTTGCAGCCAGAACGCAACATAGGCCCAAAGCCAAAGAGGGCATACGATCGAGCCGATTGGGTCAAGATTGGACAGAGCATAGTGGAACTTATGGGCCCACAACCCAGGATCTACTCAAACACAGACCTAGACTATGCAGTTGAGAAACTTGTTAAATCGACAATTACAGTCCTTGATCAACAGGTGCCAACACAGAAGCCATCACCATATTCGAAACGATGGTTCACCCCAGAGCTCAAAACACAGCAGGTTAGAGTAAACCAGGCACGCAGGCAATGGCAGGAGAGTTGCGCCACCCTGGGCGCTGGCCACCCAATAACCATAGCTCTCTTCCAAGTCATGCGCCGGACGCGCCGGGAATGGACCAGGGCCATTGAAAAGGCAAAGACCACACACTGGAAAGAGTTCCTAGACAAAGCCAGGGAAGGCCACCTCTGGAAAGCGGCGACATATATGCAGCCGCGAGATGCATACGCGAGCATCCCTGCACTGAAGGTGGGCTCAGAGGAGATTACTAATAATGAGGACAAAGCCAAAGCATTCCTAGAAACTTTCTTTCCCAAGATGGCCGACGCGGAAGAAGAGGACGGCTTGCCGCCCTCAGAGGAGCTACTGTGGGAGCCAATTACTGAACTGGAGGTCTACCGATCACTCAAGGCCGCCAAAGGAACCACTGCCCCCGGAGAAGATGGGATCCCAACCCTAGTCTGGAAGCATCTATGGGCACACCTTCGGACAGTGGTCACTTATATCTTTAGAAAATCAGTAGATCTAGGCTACTACCCAAACAAGTGGAAGCGGGCACGCATTATAGTGCTGCGAAAGCCGGGCAAACCGGATTATACGGTACCCGGGGCATACCGGCCCATCTCGCTGTTGAACACTCTAGGGAAAATACTAGAGGCTGTCATGGCCCGGAGGCTGTCATTCTGGGCTGAGGCCTATAGGCTTCTCCCGGAGACTCAATTTGGGGGGAGGCCAGGCCGCAACACAGAACAAGCACTCCTGGTGCTAGCAAACGCGATTGACCGAGCATGGCTGCGATCCAAAGTAGTCACTCTCGTCGCGTTTGATCTTAAAGGTGCTTTTAACGGTGTCAACAAGACAAGTCTTGATGCCCGCCTCCGGGCCAAGGGCATCCCCATTAAAGCAAGGCGGTGGATCCGCAGCTTCATGGAGAACCGGCACGCCAACATCACCTTTGACGACTTTCAAACAGAGGTCTCCCTACTAGAAAATGCAGGCCTCGCTCAAGGATCCCCACTGTCGCCAATCCTGTTTGGATTCTTCAACTCTGACCTGGTCGATCAGCCAGTTGATTACCACGGAGGAGCTTCGGCATTTATTGACGACTACTTCCGATGGCGAGCAGGCCCATCAGCAGAGGAGAATCTCAAAAAGATCCAGGAAGAGGATATCCCTCGGATCGAGGCCTGGGCTCGACGAACTGGTTCCTCGTTCGCCGCGGAGAAAACCGAACTGATCCATCTGACGAGAAGGAAAAGAGAACATGGCATAGGGCAAATTATCATGAATAGCAAGGTCATCAAACCATCTGACACAGCGAAACTCTTGGGCGTTATCTTTGATAAGGAGATGCGGTGGAAAGATCATGTACAGCAAGCAGTCAAAAGAGCGACTAAGATTAACATAGCCCTCGGGGGGTTGCGTCACCTCCGACCGGAGAGATGCGACAGCTCTACCAGGCGTGTGTGACACCGGTGATAGACTATGCGTCCACAGTCTGGCACAACCCGCTTAAGGACAAAACACATCTGAGGCTACTGGGGACAGTCCAAAGGACCGCCCTCATCCGGGTGCTCTCAGCATTCAGAACAGTATCGACAGCAGCCCTAGAGGTTGAATCTCATATTCTACCTACCCACCTGCGACTTAAACAACGCGCACAGATAGCGATCGCCCGCCTCAGCACACTGCCGGAGAGCCACCCAGCCCAGGGAGTAGTGGCTCGAGCGAGGATACGCAGCACCCATATAGGAACGGGTTCTCGGTTCCCTCTAGCAGAAACCATGCGGACGATGGATCTTGACCGTCTGCAAGCTCTGGAAAAGATCGATCCAACGCCGCTGGCACCGTGGCGAACCCCGGCCTTTACCGAAATCAATATTGAACTGGACAGGGAGAAAGCAAAGGAAGAAGCTTCAGCCAGACAGAGAGCAGCAGGCATTGCAGTGTTCTCTGATGCATCCGGGCAGCAGAACCATCTAGGGGCCGCAGCGGTAGCCCTTGACCAGAATCAAAGCATTATACAATCCCGGCAGATCTGTATTGGTTCAATGGAGTACTGGTCAGTGTATGCTGCAGAGCTCATGGCAATATACTATGCTATTAGTTTGGTCTACCAGATCACGCAGAAGAACCAAGAGGCCCCAAGCACAAACCAGGAGCCGGCAACTATCCTTAGTGACAGCATGTCCGCACTACAAGCGATAGCAAATTCATGGAACAAGTCTGGGCAGCGGATCATCCAGGCCATCTTCCAGTCGGCCAGGGAGTTGAAGGCGCGTGGGATTCCCCTCCGCCTGCAGTGGGTCCCGGGACACTGTGATGACCCAGGGAATGATACAGCAGACCGCCTGGCCAAAGAAGCAGTAGGCCCAGACAAGGGGCACCCCTTCCAACACCTCCTTTCGCGAGAGAAAGGGTTTATTTACCGCAAGATCCAGAAAGAATGGGAGCAAGAATGGAAGATCTCCAAGAAAGGAGGGCACCTCCGCCGGATCGACACGGCTCTGCCCTCAATCCACACCCGGCGGATGTACGGCTCGCTCCCACGCAATCGAGCCTACCTGCTCACACAACTCCGAACCGGCCACTCATGGCTAGCGACGCATGGCAAGCGGCATCGCTTCCGGGAAGATGACAAATGCGAATGCGGGGCTAAGGAAACAGTGGTCCATGTGCTTGTGGACTGTCCAAAACTGAAAGAACTGCGACAGGAGTTACGGAGGAAAGTCGGAAATGCATTCAATAACATTGCAGATATGCTGGGAGGAGGACCGCAAGGTAAGGAAGGTAAGTTGAAAGACACCACGCAGGACAGTAGCATCTTGGGTGCAGTACGTACTGGACTTTGCAGAGGCATCTCAGAGGTTTCGAAGCCGCGCGCCACAAGGGCCGCAGAACAGAATACCAGGCACATAGGCCGCCACAGGCCTTGACGAGGCTCTAAATTCGTCGGGATGTAATGGTTCAATGTAATTAGATATGTATATAGAGATAGCGATAGTTGTGTCCTGCATATCGCCAAGGCGAGGGGCCAGGGTATGAATCCACCACCACCACCACCACCAGCTGTAAGGTACTGGATCAGCTTACTGAATGCTGTTGGATGTACTGCAATTAACTATGAAGATACTCCTACCCATTCACAGGTTTTGAATACTCTTCTTTTACCACTAATAATAATCATTTCCTAGACAGTCATTCGTGTTATCTACCCCTTCTCATGGTATTGCTCTCAACGCATGCAACTAAGCCTTCTACTATCTCCAGTTTCATGCGGTTAGGGCATAATTCCGTGGTCCATGTTCTGATTGGGAAACCGTTAGATAGCCTTCTAAAATTCCAGATAACCCGCACACCACAACTCCAGTTATCTCTCTGCTGCGGAGTTGGCTATGCTGGTTAGACTTTTCTAGGAGGGTTTGGGGTAATCAAATACTTACAGCTTCACTGTACGAGTATTTCAATCTACCGAATTCTTCCTTAACCAGATCCGATATGCGCGTCCCCTTGTCGCCTTTGACAACTGCTGGGTCTGCCATGGAATCATAGTGGCGTATCACTTTTTCGCGTTCGTTTATTTCAAGGAGCGTAAAGTGGTTGTTTCTGTGGTTTATTGGGCAGAAGTATACCAAACAGGTCCCAGTCCCAAAGATTTCCTTGGCCTCACTGCGGTACTTCTCGATCTTCTTTGCCAAGCCTGCCAGAGGCTGTTTAATTTGCTTCGGTCGTCCACTGCGTCCAATCATCTCATCCAATGGAACGCTTTCAATGTGCCTGATAAACGCTGGTTTGTCTGATATCTGCATGCCTGCAATGATAGTCCAAGTGTCGAGCCATTCATCTCGGCGGAGTCGCTGGAAGATATCACAAGATAACTCTACGCTCCCGTTCACTGTAACTGTATCATCATCGCCTAGCATAGTCTTGCTAAAGAGCTTTGTACTCACGCGTTCAATCAGGCGATCAATCGCAGCATCCAGTTCACTGTCTGGTAAGGCGTCCTGATGTGATCGGGTCAGTGAGTAGTCTGATCATTGGGCACTTATTACTTACGCTCTCCAGGGCAAATGGTATTTTCAGCTCACGAAGCTCCTTGTCTGATACAAGCTCCTCCCTTTTTAGATCCTCATAGAAACTGCGAAGATCTGGAGACCCCTGCTTAACCAGCAGCTCCAATTGTGGGCTCAGGACGCGAAGTAGTTTCATCAGACTAGAGTCTGCTTTAATGCGTCTAATTAGGATATCAAGTTGCTTTGCAGTCATTTTTGTATAGTTCCTACAATTTATTATTAGTGGAGGAAGCGTTAGAAAATAATATGACTTACCAAATTTTAGGGCAGAACAGAACCCCAAGTCCAAGTTCTCTAACAAGCTTCGTACTCAATATCCGGCCCCGGCTGACTTGGAATCCGAAGCGACTTCTTTCCGACTTTCTTGCTTTCTCTGTAAGGCTGACATCACCACTCTCTTCTAGTGGGACTTCTGGTCCGTCTTCTTCTAATGTCACCCTTCCGATACCACTAATCCACCTCCCTTGCCTCGCGGAACCCATTCGCAGGCCCTGCATTCTATTTAGCACATAAGTGGCTGCGCCTCGACGGCCTACTGGCTGGCCCTTGGTGGTGAGGATTGTTCCTTCTGCAAGCTCAATCTGACCATCATACCATTCACTGGCTCCCATGTACTCCAACATGTTGAAGATAGTAGCCCTTTTGGTATTGGATGACCCCGTTTCAAGCACATGAATCCACATCGAGCCATCAGACCATTGGTCCCAACGAGCTGCTGCTGCTTCCGGATTATCTCCTTTAAGGGACTGAAGTATCCTTGCATGGACTTCCCTTGAAGGGCCATCCTGGTATCTGCTGAACTTATAGATTATCTCAGCTGCCTTAAGGGGCGTGATGGGGGCCGCATCCGCTAAAGACGGGTCTGGTGTTGGTGCAGGTTGTGGCATGATACTCTCTGGCGATGGTGGTATTTTGCCTCCATAAATCTCTTCTGTCTGGGATGGGGGATGTCCATCATCTACCAGTGTTGTCAGACCCATCTCAGGTGATCTTGGCAACTCCCCGTCTTGCTTCGAGTCGGTTAAGACCGGGGACTGGGATGTGTCCAGTTTGCTCGGTGCTGATACCACACCAAGTATCTTAGTGCTACATTTCATATCCCCACTTATGTCCAGGGTGCTTCCGATGGACAAGCTATTCCCTTCTCCCGGGGAGCCAGTATCCTCGGAGTTCTCCTGATCTAGCGGCGATAGCGGTTCCGCTGAATGGTCACCGCTATCATCCTGTCTGGTGCTTTCTTCTGTAACGGCCTCTGCGATGAGATGATCAATCTGAGCGGAGCTGGGTTCGTTATTAGACACATGGCTACTCAGAGCTGTGCGCTTGGCAGACTTAGGTGGTCGGTATAAGGGGTCATTGTTTAGCTTCCGCTTGTGTTCTGCTAGAGTGCCCTTGCCCGGCATGGTCTGCTCTTGAGGGTTGAAGTTCTGTATTGCAACCACAATTGCTCGAGCGGCTATTGGGGCTTTCTCGCACAGCCGATGAATTAAAGTGTTGAACTAATATGCCTGATTAGTAATTTTCTCTGCTCTGGTGGGGTCTCACATACCTCTGGGATCCCCTGAAGTTCAATTTTTGGATGAGAAGAAACCATCTCAACAAACCTTCGAAGCGCGGTTACCAGCTCGTCTAGGGTTCTTGCTGATTGATCAGACATGTTACCTTGCGGGGTGACGCAAGTAAAATACTTCAAGGATGAACCAGTAGGGAGGACAAACAGAGGCTTGATGAAGGGGTGCTGAAAGCGGGAGGGCGGTCAGAGAAGAAAAAGAAGGGGATGGGTGGTATATAGGTCTTAACCTCCGGCTTTTCAGTATCCTGGGATATTGAAAGGCAAGCTAGTTGTGCCTTATCAGGTAATAGCCTTTCTTGGGAATAGTAAGGTCCTTAAAGCTGTTGTTGTGGGCTCATCCCAGGCAAATAGCGTGGAAAAAGGATGCTTGCTAGCAGATAAATGATTGACCAGTCTCTTAACAGAGCACGATGATCTGATCTTAGAGGAGTGTTGTTCCCTATACTACACTACATGGTTCGACCTGGAGGCATAGATTTACTGAAAATGTTGTAAAATCACCAGCCTTCTAGTAGGTAGGTAGATGAGCTTTCATAAATTTCATTGGAGTTCAGCGATTTTAACAGAAGTAGGATAAAACCAAAGTTTGCCTCCCTTGATAGGTTTAGGGAGGCATTATTGCGTACAGTCTGCAGCTAAGTAATTAAACATGGGAATGCATTGCAGATGGGACTTTCACATGTAATCAAGCTCAATAATCCATCGTGCATTTCATAGATGCAAATGTCGCGTGGGATCTTTTGGGTAAGGGACCAACACAAGAGGTCTGTTGGCGGGATGGCCGTGGGATTCTATGCTTGTTTTATGCGTGCAGCAGCACTCTAATGATTCTGCTTCCCCTTTACCTTTCCAGATAGCATCTGCAATGCAACTGTAGCAAAAAACATGGCCGTAATCTAAATGTATGAGGGCATTCCCCAATGGACATAGCGGGCATTCAAGGATTGGGTAAACAGGGGCAGAATCAGCCACGTCGATGGTGGGCGTGTGTTGGCTTTCATGAATGTCTTCTGCACCATCGCCTTCGTCTAGCACAGTCGGTCGTCCTGGTCATGGTCATTTAGGTTAGGGCGCCATCTGTTCTGAGGATATTACCTAGACTGCTCCCTAGCTGTGCCGTTTCCATATAAACTTCTTTCTGTCTCTCTTCCGAACACAAAGCTGTGATCCTTGAGGCCTTAATAATATGATCAAATTACCCATTTTAGTAGTGAAAAGTGAAGCGCAGAGCCAGGGTAGAAGCCCTTGAACGACCCACACTCGAATCATTTTGAATTCCTAAACCGTCAAGTAGAGTCGCGCAGCGCCTGGACGATTCGATTCCAGAATCAGTATTCTGGGTTGACTAGAAAAATTTCTTAGAGTAGGATGAGACCCTTAACCTGCAGAAATACTTTGAAGGTGATTGGATAGCTAACTCTATTATTCCTGTCCTTCATAAATTCACTAATGTGCGCATGGAGGCTAAGCCTAGTTCGCAGCAGGTCTGGATGCATTGATAGCAACTGGGTGGATGTAAAGGTGGTAATGATTCAAGGTAGTGAGTGGTAAGGATTCGAGGTAGTCAGTGGTAAAAAGTCCAAGTTAGTAAGGGTTGGAGGTGGTAAGGATTCGAGGTGGTCAGTGCGTCCTAGGCTGGTCCCGCTGGAGGACCTGGGAACTAGGGATATCGAACCCCGCAACAGTCAATGTCCTCGACTCCCAGGGAATGCAGTTTCTAGCAAGGATCTGAACAGTAGAGACATACTTGAGCAAGATCCTACACTAGTGATGCAAGTGGATGCTTTCTCATGAATTCTTGTGCTTTAGGCAACTCTTCGGGCAACATCTTGCTCCCTGACCCAACGACGAAATTATATGAAAGCGATAAAATCACCTTGTCTGTGGTTCCAGGACAAACACTAAGGGCTACAGAGAGTACAGAATCCATGTTCTTGAGGCTGATGAACTGGAAGCTGCGTTTTGGGCTCCTCGGGCTGTAGAAAACCGTCCTGATTTCAAACTTGCTCCTCGGGTTAGCGTATGTAATGAGTGTAGTCTATCATCGTTTTGGTTTCAATATTTTTATATATACCATTAGTGGCAAACTCCAAATGCTCTCGCCTTCTTAAAAATCTTTGTTTAACCTGTTGTGGTGCCTTAAGAACTGCTCTCATAAAGAACTCTTTTTCATTCCTTAGACAACGTTCTCGCATTTTCCCTCTGTTTGTTCGTAGGGACAGTCCTCAGCACAGAATGTGGTCGAGGAGGCAATCGTTAAAATGAAAGGCTCTTATCCTGAGCTTGGAGAAGCGAAGAACACCAAAGTGGAGTATAGTTTGTATCGTTCGTGGGGCTTTACTTTCTTTGCTAACACAGCAGTAGGTCAAGGTCAACTCCACACTGTCCAACCTTGATCCATATCTCTAGGCAGGCTTATGGCGAGCTAATACCATTCAGAATTTTGCAACAGGAAATAGTAAATAGTGGAGAATATCATTGCCCCCGGAGAGTCTAGGCCTAGGAATCTGAACTCTATTAGGCAATATGGCTTCATCCTTATAGACACAACACCCTTAGACACAAAGAATAAGAATCCTTTCATGTTTGTTTATATGCAGCACATAAACTCATCCTGAAGTGGTGTCCTGGGTGCACTAATTACACATATGGGAAAGTCAAACTTGGTAGTCAAGCTCTTCGTAGCCAGCTGAAGCAATATACCACACTTGCCAGACAATCTTCCACTCCTTCTCCAGCTTATCCCAGTCTGATTGCCCAATCGCTAAATTTTCCTTGCTAGAATTTCTCTCCGTGTACGGGCTGCTTGATTTTGATGGAGCGCGAAACCCAGGTTTGGAAGGAGTCCCTGGGTGGCTATGGGCGCTCATCGATCAGCCCGTCCAAGTCTAGGATCGACGATGCAGTCAAAGGTCTAGCCTCTGCGTCTCCACTAAGGTCCCCCTGACGTGAGTCAGTTACTTGCATTCCGTGCACAATGCTCGTTTGCTCTCGGTCATATTCTGCCAGACATGTGCTGGGATGATGTTCTGTAGTGACCGTGGCGAAGTATGACACCCCCTTGTCTGGTACCGGTATGGAAGGTGGAGCAATAAGAACTGGCTCTCGGATACTTTAAAGTGAAGGCTTATGGTGGAGCTCATCACTAGTGAGATTCTGTCCTCCGTTTTTCGAGGAATCTTGAACAAGGCCGGTTGAATTAGCTTGGGCTGAACGTGACGTGTGCCAGGATGATGCATCGCAGTCGTTAGTGTAGAGACAGAGCATAACATACCTTTAACTGGCACTTCCATGGCAGGTATTAGTCCTGGGCATTGAGTCGCGGAGGTTGGCCGCGCTTGCTTAGATGTGACAGAGGTATCCTGACTTTGACGTCCGATCACAGCCCAAAGGCAACAGAGTAAGACAGATACGGCTTCAGATACGGCTTCGGTAAAGGCCATACTTGACGGGTAAAGCTTGCCAAGCGTTGTACAGATCTTGATGGAACATGTATTGAAAGGAATCTGCCAGGAGAATCTGGTAAACCAATGCGATGTCCGCAGTCTGGAAAGCAGTTACTTTTAAATCTTTTCGCTACGCATGGGCGGTTATCGCCATTGTATGCAAGTTATTGATTCGGTAGTGAATATCAAATTGTAAGATTATACTCCTAACTTTGGGAAAGACGAGATGTGATGAGGGATTTTCCTGGAAACAATGGGTTTGCTAGCTTCCTATGACAACAGTACTGTATTACAGTTGACATACATGGGACATGGGACAACGATTTCAGAGGCGCCGCCGAACCGTCCTTGCTAGGCGGGAAAGTAGCTGTTGCCAGTTCTTCTTTATCCCAGCCAGAGTTGCTTTGAGCAGACACACCCTAACATTTCTCTCCGGATTTAGAAGCATGCAACCAACATGAGAGGCGCGTAATGCTTCTTCTCGTATATCGATTTTGCTGCGCCCATAGGATAATACAACGTTGTTGTCTACCCCTGTAACTGTCAAGATCTGAAGCAATGGACGGTCCTTAACCTGCGCTAACCATAAGACGAACTTTTAAGGTGATTGGATAGCTAACTCTATTGTTCCTGTCCTTCATAAATCTAGAGTATCTAAAAGTTGTGATGCATGAACTAAAGCTGTGGGTATAGTTTAGAGTAGAGAAAAGCAAGATCGATTCCCGGTATAAAATTATTGGCTTGTCAATCATCACTAATGTACGCATGGAGGCTAAGCCTAGTTGCAGTAGATCTGGATGCATCGATAGCAACTTGGGTGGACGTAATATTTATGGTGGTAAGGATTGGATGTGGTAAGAATTGGAGATGGTAAGGATTGAAGATGGTAAGGATTGGAGGTGGTAAGGATTGGAGGTGGTAAGTGGTACGGATTTGAGGTGATAAGGATTAGAGATGGTAAGGATTGGTGGCAGGAAGAATTGCTGGCCATGTTTGAGGATAGTAACTATTGCGTCCCGGGCATCTGTGACGGTGGAAGGACTCCAAGGAACTAGTGATTTGGTTGTGGGGTCGAGAATCAAGGCTCTTGTGAGATTCGCTAGATGATTTCTTACGTGCTGTGTTGATTGTTCCAACTCAGGGGCCATGAATCCAAAGCGGACTATCCGCTGGGCCTATCTAAGCGCTGACTAATCTAATATGTTGCCCTACGCTAAAGCTTTATATAGAGAGGTCTACATGTGCATAATCAAGCATACCTGTGAAGATTTATCGTCTCATTCATTGAATTCTATAACATCAAGTTGCAAAAGACCTGAACATGTGTTTTCAGAGATGGAAGACCCCAGCGAGCTTTCCCGATTGTGTCGGGAACAAGACTGGAAACTGCATCGAGTTCGATCCAGAAGAAGATAGGGTTGATTGGTGTATTGAGGCTCAAAGACGTGGGACGCAATGCCAAACTCTAACTCCAACTTCGCAAGGCAGCTCCACAAGGCGCAAAGTGGACTGCCCCAGGCATCGGAAACCACGGGGACCATCTGACAAGAAGGACGATAAAGGAGGAACCGGTGGTAGTAGTGGTGGGTCCCTGACCTCTGGGGCGCCAAGCGTAAAAGTTGGAGCCTAAGGTAAGAATCCTTTTGACTGTCAGCTGTGGAAGAAGGCTAACCGCGTTCTTGACTAGACTACATCCGGCCTGCCCCACAAATCATTCGACTCGCCCGCGGGTCTATTGATTTAACATGTACCCCTGGTTTTCATCTTCGCAATCCACCATTCCTTGTATTTAACTCTACTGCTGTGTTCAACGAAACCAGTCACTTATTAGTGCTTTGCCTATCATTAAAAATCAAGCACATTTTTCCTCCTCTCCTCTTACTTAAAAAAATGTCTACGCCATTCCTAGACACTGAAGGCAATCCGATATCCAAGGACCAGCTCCTTGGGTACGGTCGGTCTGGATTAGTCATTCTCCAAAATGGCGTCGCCGTAAAAATGCCTTTAAGATACCTGCAAAGCTCGGACGACGAGGTGGACTTAAACACCAGTGTCATTCAGAGGGAGCAAGAGGTTTATCAGCGTCTCGAGCAATGTGAAGGTGTTTTACCGTGTGTCAGCTTCTCTCCCACAACTATCCAACTTGCCTTCATGAGAAATGGGGATCTCCGCTCCTATTTATCACAGAATCGGCCACCTAAATCTCGCCAGCTTTCATGGTTCCGGCAGATGGCTCAAGCTCTATCTCATATACACCGCCGTTCAGTTATCGTTGCAGATATTGCTTGCCGAAATATCCTCCTTGATTCCGATCTCAACATCAAATTTTGCGACTTTACCGAATCGACAATAATGCCTCTTCATACCAATATGGAAACAGCTGATGACAATGGATATTCGATTCAAACTGATATCGGACAATTGGGCGCTGTTATGTATGAGGTTGTGACCGGAAAACCCTGCAAGTTCGATCTCCACGAAAATCATGCTTCCCGAGCCACATGGCCGCGGAGGGAAACCCTCCCTAGCACAAAAGACATCTGGATTGGGTCAATAATTGAGAAATGCTGGACTCAAGGTGCCTATCAGAGCTCAACTCGTCTAGTCGAAGCGTTGGATGCTGTCGTTTTGGAAAATGAGAACAAGGGGAGTTCATGCGTGGTGTCAAGCAAAGGCATATTCGTAGCTGGGTTGGCATTGGCTGCTATATCCTATTGGGTCTGGAGACGGCGCTGAAGGAATAGGCTTTTTAAATTCGTATTTCTTCATTTATCAGAGGAGGGGACGGCAGCTGATGTAATCAAACTAAACAAATCAATCGTATTCTTGGCATCTGGGTACTTTGTGACTGCGCGCTAGGAGGCACATCACTTAAGATCGGCTCTGGCCCAACTTTCCAAGCTGGACTTTCTCCACCGTTCAATCCGCTACGATATACCATGGAAAGCAGAGTAGCACCCCACCTATTTGCTCAGCTTCAAGAGCTTGCAGTCGCTCTCCAAGCGGCTGGCGAACCGGTAAGGCCATACTTACCAGCATCTACGCATATAATTCTGACAAAAGAAGGAGTGTGCGAGAATAATATTAGAAATACCTAAGAATCGCAGGCTCCGCAAGTCATGTCGCAATAAACTACTAGAAGCGCATCCACGCACAGACCCGTCGAGATGGTTTAAAAACTGGGAATGGACAGATGGCAGCAAGTCATCAGCTGAACACCTAAAAAGGCTTGTCAAACTCACCAAAAACTGGAGTTGCCAAACAGAAAACAGTGCACAGAATTCAAGGGATTGGACTGAGGACCCAAACAAATTCTGGGGGTTCGAGCCATTTCGCATGGGCTGAGATGGTGCGGTACTGTTTAGAGCACAGCTCTAGTGATGAAAAGCCCACCCCGCGTGCCGCAGGGTTCTTCTTGTTATCCTCCATGATATCATCGACAAAGAAACAATGCGATTGAAAACCCTTAAGCAGCACTTGAACACCAAGCGCACTACCACCGCTGTTCAGAGCATCTTGGAACAGGCTTATCACGGCAATCCCAGCAAGGAGCTGCGCGATAAGTGTACTCGTTTAAAACGATTTGGAAAACGGTGGGCATCACTACCACAAAGGGAGTGGGTATTGGCTCCTTTCGAGCATGCTATAGAAGAGTTAGTGCTTTGTTGCTACTATGCATCCTTCTACTAACTCGCCATTAGTTTTGAAAAGAGCAAGATACAAACTATCGAAATTGACGCACTGATTGAATATGGAGAAACACTATACAATGATGAATGTCGAAAGCGCCTACAGGAGGCGTTCAGAAGAAAACACGGCAAATGTATCTCGCAGTGGACTAGTTCTGCATCGCAAATTCCCTCAACTTCAACCAAGAAGCGCCTTAGGAACAGACATTCCCTCAGCAGCAGGAAAACGGCCCGGAATTCTGCACCACAGCACTCAGGCCGAGAGAGCGATCTGTTTAGCAGTGAGTCAATTCATGGGCAACACGAACACAGTTCTAATTTAGGTGGTGAGTTTTATTGTAATCCTATCCACAGCAGTACCAATTCCAGTTGACTGATAACCATCGCGAAGGCGCTCCTCAAACAATGTTAAACACATCGGTTGATAGCAACATCTCTGATGAACGGCAATGTATAGGCAAGCATAGTCCCATTTGGTCGCGCGACTGGGGTGAGTGGACCATACCTTCCTGAAAGATAGTGAAATTTAGAAATCTGGAGCGTTGTCATTTCAACCTGACTCATCCATATAGATCAACTGATATGATCGATCTTATAAAAGTAGTAGTCTCGCTATTTCCTTCCTTCGCAATCCGTCGAGGCGCTTCCTCAGACCAATCGACGGAAGCCAGGCTCTCCCGATGCTTCGTATTGACACAAGTAGATACTATAAAGAGAAGAAAGTATGTATTAAAATATTTGCGCTATAGGGATACAGAGACCGATAATGAAGATCCACCCATCCTCATGCCCAAGAGCAATGTTGCCGCCTTTGACAGCCGAACAGGTATACTTCGATAGTTGAACGGGAGCCATAGTACCTTATCACCCTATGCGCCGCCCATTCGCTGCGTTTGGAAACCGGAAGACTGGACTTTTCTAAAAGGGACCACCAGCCGGCGGTGGAAGAGAATCCTCTTCAGCCCATCCTCCTCGCTTGCTTCCCAGCGTGACAGGAAGTATGACGTTTCTATGTGCGTCGCAGTAGAAACCAAGAATGAGGCGCATTGCATCCCACCCACATACGACGTTCCAAATAGCTGCAGCAGGCAAATCCCAGACGACCAAGGAAGATTCTCTTTGGCAATAAATTGGAAATCCGTAACTAACTAGCGAGGAGACTTGCACTTCCGCAAATGGTTCGCACCGCGTCTACATAAAATACTCAAGCGGCGCTACGAGTCATCGTGAACGGGAAGAGTGAGCCAATCATGTGCTCTCCATAAACGCTTATGTAGCCTGCGAGGGCAAGGCTAAAAGTGTTCGCGGCTCAGGATGCGTGATGAATGCCCTTCCCCCCTCCAAAAGAGAGCCTAGTAAATCTATTGGCCCAGTCTCTCGAGTATACGCGCGGGACTACGATGGGCAGGTAGTATGACAGAAGCTGATTTCAATCTCGTAGCCGGAAAATAGCATAAAAGGGGGCAGCGACCTTATCCAGAATTGATAGTGTTCGTTTCCACATCGCTCTTCAGATTCACGATAAAATATAGCTAAGGGTAAGCATTCAACATTACCCAGCCCAACGAACTCCAGCTGAATGACGCAAAGTGCACTTTACCAGAAACATGGCGTTCCATCTCTGCATCGAAGTCTTTGGGACTGGTGAAGACCCTAATCACCGATGCCACTGGGGTTTCCTTTTTTATAAACCCCAGGATGATTTCGGGGACCTCTATCACGTCCAGGTTATCGACTTAAAGAAGCTGTGGTATCAACCTGACCGTCGTGAAGCAACCACAATCAAAACCAAGCAAGCAGTTGGGATGTGCAAAATCGCTGTTCTGGATGCAAAAAAGCGGTTGGAGGCAATCAAGATCATTCAAAAAGAGCCAGCCCCCAGGGATGGTAAACGGAGATGCCAGGATTGGACAGTTGATGCATTAATTTCTCTTGAGGCAGAGGATCTTGTTGAATCTGGAACTGCCGAGAAATGGAGTAAGAGAGTTGGAATGACAGCAAAGGAACTTGCAAAAGATTGTGGGAATGATTGGATTGGCTTCTGAAAACAACATCCATGAGCTTGGCTGAGAGGAAGAAGGTAGGGAGTGGCTTATGTACGTACTTAGATGCCCGTGTAGTCAGTCATGGAATAATTCACCTTAGCCCAAAAATCATACTCATCTGAGGGGAGAATGGTAGATGCAAGTCTTCTCCATGATGAATCCGGTGTCGCCCAAACCAAGCCGAAGTATTCCCTTGCAGCAATACTGTACCCCGCTGCACCCCAGTCAATAATCCCAGCTACCTTACCGTCGTTGATGATAATATTAGTGGGGTGTAGGTCACCATGAGTTAAGATTTTTCTCTCGTCTTGTCCATTCTCCCCTGATGCGAGAATCTCTTCTGCTAGGCGGTAGTCATCCTCATCGACCAGTTGCCCACCAGGTCTCGAATTCTTAAGCGCATTAACAGCACCCTGGTTGAATGCCTTTCGGGTTTGAAAGGGCCCGTATTGATGGTTTTTCTCTCCCCATGGGTGCTTGAAGATGATATCTTCACACGGTCCTTGATCTACAGACCCGAAGAAAGTACCTTCAACTCTGCGCCACTCATGTACATAGACTCGGAGTTGCTCCAGGATGCATTGCTGGGAATCCTCAGAAAGACTTTCCCAGCATGCCTCAAGAGGAATACCCGGTATCTTCCTCATTAAGATAAATCCAATATCTTCAATCATATAAGCATTGAGCACCTCTGGAACAGGAACTGATGTTGAATTCCGGACGAGACACATAGCCTCAGCTTCTCCCATGGTGACTGTAAGGCCCATTTTCAAGATCTTGGATTCACCGATCTCCAGTATTTTGCAGCCACTGACTCGGTGAGGGCATAGGTCTCGTCCATTCCAGATCTCTTGACGTGTCACAATAGGTGGTGCTTGGTCTTCTATTGAAGGCGCGTAACGTACGTTGATAGGAGAAGGAGAAGATAACAAATCGTGGACATATTGTCGAACGTTCCGCTTGGAAGGCTATGATATGTTATAGTGGGATTGCAAACATAAAAGGTGATATACTTACATTATTAATATCAAAAGAAACTTCTTCCGCCATTATTATCATTCTATGGTACGCCTTTTTTCGAACTCTTGCATTAAGAACAGACGAAGTGTATCGCTTGTGCTCCTTAGAGGAGCGTTAATGACAGACTTCTCGGAGCGGAAGAACTTAAGATGCCTGCTGCACAATCCTGAACACTTACAAATAATAGGCGCTGGTATTATGTTTAAAAATTGATGAACCCTGAGAGCAGCGAAATCATTTTCTTTGGCTTCTTCATTATCACTGCTATCGTTTTCGAGGTCCCCATGTCGCCGAGCGCTATCAGCGCGACCACTAGTACCTCACGTGCCTGGCGCAGTTACTAAGCTACCCGCTTACGTCACAAATTTGGAGAGTGCTGCTGGAAGAGGACACGTCAGCAGGACAGGGGTTGAGCCGTGTCGCTGGGTGCGCTATTTACAGTAACAGGTGCCTCTTCCACTTCTTCCTCACTTTTCCTATAGGTATTATCCTTTTTCTTTTCTATAGTAGACACAGTACAGTTCTTCTTACGTTTATTAGTCTGTTTAACATCATTTTGAAGCTGTAGAGAAGCTTGTTTCGCAGCTTTCTCCTCCTCTTTCTGGCGTCTCTTTTCCTCCGCTTCCTGCATTCGTAGACTCTTATTATAAGCCCTTATTCTCTTTTGTTCTTCAATCAAGCATATTTTCTCTTCTTTCTCCTGCTGCCGACGTATCTTATCTTCCTCCTTGGCGGCCTCAGCAAGGCGCCTAAACAGAAGGGAAAGATTGAGCAATAGGATCAAAGCCTTTCAGTGCACCCAAAGCATGGCACCATCATGCAAAAGACTTCTCTGTCAATGTTGACAAACTGCCTTAATTCTGGGTTATTACATGGTTATCATTAGGACTGAAGCCCTGCTAATGCGATCAGTTGAGCCTTCAAAGGCCTGCGACATAGCTTCCTCGGGACGATCCTCCAATCTTACCCGCTCGGCAACATAGAATGAGTATGTACGGATGGCCTGCATTCTCCTACTTCACTAGTAGGCCTGAAGTTAGGCGTGTTCAAGTGTGCAATGGACTAAAAGTCCTATAGAGCATCAGGAGAAAGCTTGCAAGGTACAATGCATCATCTAAATCATTGCGGATTCCTAAAACATAGTTGACATTTTCGTTCCGACAGGGCCAGGCGTAACCAAAGAGGAGTCAAGTACTGGTTCAGACTGAAGGCAGTCGGCCTGCTGCCTCCGACAGCTTCTTGGGCCTAGGAATTCCCATTCTCTCAGCCAGTCTGACTACCTCTATGAAATGTTCAGCGGCGACACCTTCTGTCACCCAGCCATCCACCATCCAGGAGTGCCATATCACTTCTGAGGCTAAATGTTTACTTGCTCAGTAGGCTGCTAATACTTTATAGTATTACTATACCTCCAGATGCAGGTATCAGTCCTACTAGAGTCCAAACCTTCTGTACATGTGGGGCGAGTCAATATGAAATTAGCACTATAACAAAAGCAGAGACCACATACCTCCAGTGTGTGTTATCAGGCCGTCAGTTGCAGACAGTATCCACAATGTCTTCAATGACGCATATCCCAAGTGAAACAATATCAATGGCAGAACTACTCTGCGCTACAAAAAACCTCCGTCAGCAAAAGGCATGACATGGGATTCTTCTTTTAAAGTGGAAGATGCAGGCCCTATTGTGCACGAAGTTTGTGCTTCTATGCCACCTACACGCGATGGATGTCTTCCATTAAGGGGGCCTGGGACGGCTCTCCCAAAGTGCTCTCTCTACTGACCAAGCTATGACTAAGCTCGGTTGGACCCAAGGGCCCTTGGCGGGTACCCGGTTAGGTCCTGACAAAGGGGTTTCTACGCTGCTGAGTTGCGACGGATAGCCAACTCAGCGGTTAGTTCTGGGATCAATGCATACGCACCCTTTGCCCCTATCACGCTATCTGCTATCAATTAGGCATCTCTGCGGAAACATATGTCGCTGGTACATCTCCTCTGCCTTCTTCAGCTTGCCCTGATCAGAGTAGAGAATACCAAGATTGTTGACTGTTTTCAGAGATTACGTTAGCTCACTCGCTTAGTCATCATTAGATGGGTTTCTGGTCCCGTCTCCGCAAGTCTTAGAGACGCTCCCCACCCCCCACTTCTTCAGTATAGTTAAATTCACCCAGACTCGCTTCCATAGAGCATCGCACCAATCCCAAGAGGCCTCAATATGTCCCAGCATGCAGTAGAGCCGAGGCCATCTTCAGCTTGCGGCCGAAGAGCCTTGGATGTCCTTACAGAGTAAGCTAGATACAACTTCAAGAGTCAAATAGCTTTCCCTGACCAACGCCAAAATTTAAGAACAAACGGAGCTCTCTGACCTTACCATCATTTGCAACAAGACGAGATTCCTAGTACATAAAGCAGTTGTCTGCTCAGTCCTTACCTCTTGTGTCTACCAGAACGCTTCATTTACGTTTTTGGACGTGGTGATGACCCATTATTGTCTTATGTTGTTCAATTACGACTTCTGCTTCCTCATTGATTATCTCTGGCAGAGTCCAGTATGGCGCGATGATAAATGGCTCCATGCTCTCAAGCTATCCTTGAACCCCCTACTCCGTATTGTCGGTTGTCGTGGGCGCAGTCCAGCGTCGGTAACGGTTAATTATTCCTCCGTAAACCTTGGGAACTGTGCTGTTCATTGTAATTGCCGGGCTGAACCAAACACTCTCTGATCTCCTACGTACCTATTCAGTCTAGTGGTATCTCCATCATCATGCCCTGCACCACATTCAGCAGAAAGAAGTCACATTCGTTGCTTCAAGTGAAACTAGACTGTTGATAGCAATCATGCGAAAAAGTGCAGCACACGACAAAGACCTCGCAGTCTACCCTATCGAAATCTATGATTCTATCTGGAGACCCGTCAAACCCTGCTAGTGCTTTGATTTTGAAAGTTATTCGCTGGACTGGTAACCGCTTTCAACACCGAATAAGACTTGCACTGGGCTGAAGCTGCTCTGCGACAGTAAGCCACGTCGCAAGGTCCGATGACTGAGCTTTTAAGACCTTCCGTGTGTCATGATCATCACGTAGATAAAAGCTCAGATTGCAAGCTTAGTCTAATGCATCTGAAATTTCCACTTTATCTAAGATCTGTATACCATATCCTGGTTCTTTGCAAAGTTAAAGGAGGTAATGAACACATACAGATCCCATTGGGCAAATATGAAATGCTAAAATGGATTTTCTCTTGTTTAGCAGGTGACAAGGAAGCAAGGCATCTTCAGTGCGGCCAATGGTGTTTCGTCTCTTACCGCCCAGCCCATGCCTCATGCGCAGCACAAGGCTGAGCTTTAGTGGTTAATATTATGCTCTCCAGCTCCTTTTTAGCAATGTCAGATTTGTCAGCCCTCTGCTTCTGCCTTTCAATTTTTTGTGATCATCCATCTTTTGTCGCCAACGTCAGATTAGAGCAGAAATTCGTCTTGGTCGTACCATATAACGACCATGCCTTGTCCTGCACGAGAGGAATTTCAGATAGGTTGGATCTGTGCCCTACCTATTGAGGCGGCCGCAGCCAAGGAAATGCTCGATGAGGACTTTGGAATCCTTGAAGAACAAGATGCTGCGGATACAAACTCATATAGATTGGGTCGAATTGGAAAACACTATGTTGTGATTGCCTGCCTGCCCGGAGGACAATATGGAGCCTGTGCAGCTACAACAGTCGCAAACAACATGGTCCGTACGTTCTCAAAATCGTTACGGATCGGTCTGATGGTTGGTGTTGGAGGAGGCATCCCATCCACCGATCATGATATACGGCTTGGTGATATCGTGATTAGCTGCCCGACAGGCAGTTGTGGAGGCGTGATTCAATATGATATGGGCAAGGTCGCTGCGGACGGTGTATTCTGCCGAACTGGCTCTTTGAACAGTCCTCCCAGATCATTGTTAACAGCAGTCAACAATATGAGGGCTGCTGAGCTGACTGATGATCCCCGCTACCCGGAATATCTCCAAAGAGCGATCAAGAGGACCCGACGGACCCAGGCACACTTTGGCCGACCCAGTCCACAAAGCGATCGATTGTTCAAAACCAAGCACGAACATCCTGCTACTGCGAAGAACTGTGATATATGTCCGAGAGAATGGGAAGAGACTAGAAGTGAACGGGACGGTCAGGATCCGCTGCCACACTATGGTATTATTGCTTCGGGAAATTCCGTTATCGAACACGGTTGCACAAGAGAACAGCTCCGTTTGGAATCTGGGCACTGTGTTTTGAGATGGAGGCAGCAGGCTTGATGTTAGACTTCCCTTGCATTATTATCCGTGGCATCTGCGATTACTCTGATTCGCACAAGAACAAGCAGTGGCAAGGTTACTCTGCCTTGGCCGCGGCAGCATATGCCAAGGAGTTGCTGGAATATGTGCCCCGGGGTCAAGTCTCGCAAGAGAATCTTGCAGTAGATGTATGCAGTAAGTAATGTCCAGATTAGCCTAATATTTAGAAGAGCATGTGATTTACTTATCACTGTATAGGCTCCATAGAAAACTTAACTCAAGAAGTCAAAGGCACAAATCACCGACTGGACATAGCATACGATCAACAAGAACGGCACTTTCGCGAACGAACAGCTAGAGCCCTGACTGAACAGCAACAGAAGTGTCACCAAGTATTCAAGACGTCAAACTATGAGCAGCATAAAGACATTAACCCAGGTCGTGTACCAGGGACATGCCAATGGGCTTTGCAAAATCCACATTATCTCCATTGGTGGAATAGTTGCTGCAATGATCTTCTGTGGATATCAGCTGACCCTGGCTGTGGAAAATCTGTTCTGGCCAAATCACTTATCGATGATGACTTCGAAGCATCGAGTCTAGCAATGAAGACATTTCAAGACAGCTTCATCCACTGTCTGTAGTGTTTCAAACATCCTGTCTTTATCCAAGACACCTCCACAGACTCGAATATAAATATCTCAACGACACCATGAGTCCATCTTCTCGTCATCATCCATCGCTCTTCTCCTCCAACAACTTCTCTTTGCAACTCCCTTGCAACCTTTCACCACCAATTCCTTGTTACCCAATGACCTCGAAATTCACAATGGTTCGTCAAGAGCCTGCCCCTGAACAAGCCGAAATGCTAACTCACATCCAGCACCTCCCGCTAGAAGTGCGCCAGGAACTCGCACTCCTCCCCGAAAAGCCAAGCCGCGAGGAGTTGTACGTCCTGTGGACGCACCTCCTCCAGAGGTATTTTCCCTTCCGTCTCTACGGTTTCCCCCCCGACCTTGCCGATCTTCCTGACAGAACCGAAGTGGAGTACGCCCTATGCATGAACCAGGAGTCACAGGACTCGCACATCGCCCTCTCTGTCGCACGCGGGTACGGGCCCTTCGACCGGGTATACTTCATGCATGTCTTCTGTCTCGGCGAGCCTGAGTTCGAGAAGCCGTTCGTTGTCGTCGAGCTGCGGGCTAAGCTCAGGGAGCAGATGCTGAAGCAGGCCTACAGCGAGATCGCGCGCGAGCGCGGGATGACGATCCACGGGGTGATCGTGCTCGGTCGCGAGGTTAGGTTTTATAAGTTGAAGCCTGATGGGTCGTTTGAGGGGTTGACGTGGTTCGGCGAGAGGAGGGCTTTGCATATCCTTGAGGATATGCGGGCTATTACGTCCCATCTCATGCAGATAGGCTATGAGGTGAGGATGCGTGATTGACCTGGCTTGGACTGATCATTTAGTGGACGGCGCGACGAGGTACTGGGAGATTTCAATCATTTTGCTTTGTATGGTTGTTTTGTTGCGCTGCTGATTTGACTGACTGTTTAATAGCTTGCTTGGTTGACTTTGGTCTGGTGAGTCGTGCAATTGGTCCTGTCTTGTTTTGGTATTTCTTACTTATCTGACTTGCATGATCGATATATCTGGTTCGAAGGGCATATACAATTTGCAATCGTTCAAACAATTATCAATTCTGCCCTTTATCTTTCTGTCCTACCCTGAGACTAATGACTGATCGAGCTAACTGTGCCACCTTGGGTAGGCTTGACATAACTAGTGCGCTGCCGGTTCTTTGAAGGGATTGTATAATGCTTTTGGGAATGATAGTCCCTCGCATTTGCTTGAGAGACCACAGCAAGACAAGCTGAGTGCCGTAGACTATTCATGGATGTTTCTGCTCCCTGCCCTCCTACCGTCAACGATAATGAGACCTCGAAATTCCAATGTCCCGGAAGGTCGTAAGATCATCTGACACAAATATCATGGCCTGGCAGTTGTTGAGATAGCCAACATTGTAATCTGCCATGTGGCAGCCTGACACGGAATCACAGTCCGATCCCTTAATCCCTCGAGCGTGATTGATGCAGTTCCTTCAGGGCATCAATCCGGTTAAATAAGGTAATCTGTTATATCCAATCGGGAGAGATCGCCTGGTTTTCAGCCCTTATGCAAGGTTCAAATAGATTAGACTGTGCAGTCTTGCCGTCTCGGCTCATGCTTGTCTTACATGGCTGAATCTGCAGAGATGGAATTTCGGGGGTAAACATACCTCTCCGTGCTGAATGAGGATGTCAAGTAGGGCATAAATAAAAGACAAATTAGGTTGTAATGGGCTCTCCAGTTCTCTGCAGCTGCTCATGTTCTTCCACCTGAACAAGTCCAATAAGTACATAGTAACAGCGCTGTCTCATCCAACAGATGATCATACGGTCTCGTGATCGAACTCAGAGTAGAAGGCTGTGTATCCGAGTGTTGATTACAAAGGCTAAGCCAAAATCCTCAAATAAGTGCAGGATGAGCTTCGAACAGCTTTCAGCACTTGCGGAGACATCGACGGTCGATCGACGTGGACCCTCCGATATTTGCACACTGTCTGCTAGCGTTGTGTTGCCCCGAGTGGTGCGATATAGGAGAAATGACAGCCGCATTCTGCGCCCGAGAAGGGCAGATATCTTATTTCTAACCGCTGATCAACTCACTGACCCTTTATACTCTCGTATCCACAGACCGTTGGCAGCCAGCCAAGCGCGACGATCTTCGACAAGCCTTGGAGGTCAAGCGGCAGTGCTGGTTTGGACGAATGACTTTGATCAGCTCGAGTCCAGCCGGCCGTTCTCACTGGAGCCAAGATCAAGACCACGTCTGGGGCGTGGGGGCGCATGCGCCGGCTCCCGGCTATACCCCTTCTCTCAAATGCCGGAGGGTCCAATCCGCAGTTCTTACCCGAATAGGGCGTGGAGACGATGCCCTAATACAGGGCAACCTCCAACAGGGTAGTGATCTACCGACAGCTAGCCAATAATAGTGTTTATATCCATCCCTCCCCGCTCCGACCTTACAGACAGAATGTGAGGCTGACTCTGATCATCGTAGCTACGCCACACCAGGCACAAGGCAGTGTTTAACTACCCAGGCTTCCCCGTTACACTCTGTTGTTAGGTCACATTGATTTTCCTGCTGTACTTCATGTCTTGCGAGCAGCTTCCTGCTACTTCCTGCTACCCCCCTTTCCGATGGAAGTGTGTATGACCAGTCTGATCACTGATGTTGAAAATCGACAAAGATGCGCAATGATCGAGATGACCAGCATAGGGAGAGCTTGGTCGAGACTCCGGCTACAAACTCGGCTACCTCCACGCCTGGTCAGCATCATTCAGTAGACGATGGCTCCGACAAGCCCAAACCGCCGAAACCATCTGTCCCCCTGCAATGTTCTGTATACATTGTGTTCTTGACTCTGCTGTACGGAGCCGCAGCACTGTACGCTTGGGTCATCATCTGCATCCTCACCTATCGCCCCATCGGTGCAAATAGCTATGGACCCAGCGAACTTGATCGCATTCTCACTGGCCCTCATCTTGGCACCACCACCGTGCCCGAGTACCTCGACGCATTATTCGCCAAGAGCGAGAGGTATCTCAGGGCGGCGAGAACGGTCCAGTCCTTGGTGTCCGTGCTCACCATCCCCTTGACTTCCGCCGTGTGCTCCCAGGCAGCCGTGGTGTATATCCAGTGGAAACGAGGGGACAAGCGCCCGACCCTCAGGCAAAGCATGGCCCTGGCGGACAAGGGATGGACCGACCTTGTGCTTTTGAAAAATCTCATCTTCGGGGGTTGGAATAAGTACAGGTCCTCGCTACTACTCTTTGCTGTGTTTCTGCATCTCCTAGGTGAGTTCATTGTCTATTTCGCTGACCTGAGGTACTGCTAACCTTTTGTGCTGACTTTAGGCGCCGCCATATCTCCGGTACAGCAGCTCTTTCTCTCGTACAAGACGATCAAGCGCGTTGGGTACCCCGTCAGCCTCACCCAAATCACAGATTTCACTGATCTTTTCCCGGACCCCGGACCTGATATTGGCCTGGATGCAACCAAGCTCAGAGCCACTCTGGCATTGACAGTCAATACTGCGGTTCAGCTGAGACTCTGGTCCTCAGCCAATGGCACAGTCACCCTTGATGATAAGATTTACCAGACTTATTTGGCGTTGGAGACAAAATCGCAAAACACCCTCGCCAATATATCCACTATAACGGATCCATTCTGGGCTGAGCTCCCCACTAGTACCAACACTGGTTTACTACGACAGTTTGCTCCTCGCATCAACTCCACGGCCGTATGGGAGAACAATTCCGCCGCCATACTTCCCGAAGACTGCAACTCGTTGTCTGATGCCTTCTATCTTCACTACGAATACGGACAGGACAATGGCGCTCCATTTCAATACGATGTTGAGATATGTATGCCGGGAAACATGTCAGAATCGCCGTGGAAAAACCAATTGTCTTGACAGGATTTCAGCGAAGAGTTGTATTTCAAGATGAACTTTTCGGGAGACGGGGGCATGATGAATTACCTTCCCAGACCAGGAACATCCTCGAGGAAGCTGACACTCCACACCACGACCGGCTACTTTGAGCTTCCCAACTACGCAAATGGCCAAGTACCTGGCCCGTTGATCGAAGAGAGTCCGTTTGGCAAGAGCTCGCGAAATCTCACCCCCCGGGATGTAAACAACCAGACAGCATGGACGCCGCTGAACGCGACCTTGAATGTGATCAATGCCGGCAACAAAGGTCCCCTTCTCTACATCGCCATGGCCCTGTTTGGCGAGGGCTCTTTCGCCGATGTCCAACACACAGTCTTGGCAGCATATGCCAACTCTGGCACCATCTACGATGGTTGTATCGGCATCATTCCCTTTATTCCACTTCTTGACGACCCCAACTCGTCCTTCAAGGCGTCCCCGGGTAACCCGTGTCTAACGGGCAGCGGGCTAACGGGCAGCGCCAGTAATCGTCAATACAACGACGACACAATGCACGCAATTGTTGCGGGGTACTTCTTCCTTTTCTCCGGGGACCCTACTTACGGGCCAACTTCGGAACGCGTCCAGAACGCCTTTGCCTCGGCGGCGTTTCTCGCCAACGACATGTTCATGACGAACAACTACCACCAGCAGAGTATCGGCATCTCATACGATATGGGCGCTGATGTACAAGTCCCGCACATCTCCCGTGCAGGAATCATCTTGGTCTCGGTCTTGTTAGGGCTGGACTTGGCATGTCTTCTGGCATTGTCCCTCTATAGCGCGTGGATTCCTCGATGGACCGAGACGCTCGACTCGTTTGCGATGCTGCGGATCGGGGCCTCTATAGCAGAAAAGGTTCCTCTGCTCGCTGCGCGGCATGTCGAGCGCATCAAGGTTCTCGACGAGACCCCTGGATGGGTGGGGAACGTGTCTGATGGCGAGATAGGGGAGCTATGCTTGGGCGGGGAGCGGCCGCTCAGGAAGACGAGGCGGTACCGCGGTTATGATACCGACCTTGCGAAGAGGAAACCCTCGGCCTCGGGGCTGGTCAGACGAGAGGGCTATTCCTTGGCTCCGGGAGACAGTACATAGCGGTCATACTCAAGCAAAACCCATGTACACAGAGTTGATACACAGAACGAATGAATAAACTGCAGAGGAACAGAGAACATTATGCAGCAATAGACCTCTAGCTACATGTACTTCAGTCAATGGAGGAACGCTGTCAAGGCAACCGATCAACGCCTGTCCCACTCTTCATGGCACAGTCCTATACAGCCAGGCATTAAGCTAAGTAACGCAAAAGCCTGATGCCTGCACGTAAGAAACCGGCCAGATTCTAGATCCTTCCACAATGCCAAAGACCAACATTACACATGATGTGCCAGCATGGATATAGGCCCCAGGACATGCTGCTCGCACATCATTTCTTGATCTGTACGAACCCGACGTGCTCTAGGAACTACTCGCGCCAACCTAACATATTTCTCCAGTCTCATATTATGGAAAGATAGAGAGACTCGACCTTGAGTGACATTTGTTCCATGTATATCCATCCCGGATATACAACACGCGGCGTTACTTGAATCTACTTGAAAGTTGAACAACGAGATCCACCTGATCATCTTCTCCAGGCAACATCAACGATTGAGTAAAACACACTAGCGATTCAAATCTATTCCAATCGAAGCTCACCCAAATCCAGTGTGACAGTGTCTACAAGAACAGATGTCTACCGTACACCGCCGCCGACGAGGCTGCCACTGCGGCGCTGCTACTCGGACTCGGAATCGGACCATCATCCGCGGACGTCAGATTCCAATTATACGTTGGGCCAACACAGTACGTCAACCCCGTATGCAAGCTGGCCGTACAATTCCCTGCATCCAGCGAGGGGTTGACAGCCGTGAACAACGGGCCCGTGATACCCTCCTTCACGCAGATTTCAGCACACGTGTCGTTCCCAGCAGCCTCGTACCACCTGCCGCAGTTTATTGTCGAATTTGGCGCAAGCGTGGCGTTCGTAGGCGGGGGCGTCGCGGCGTAGACGTATCCGTCTGACATGCTCGGAGCAGTGCTTGACCCGTTACTCGGCGCGGAGCTATTGTGGAAGCCGCCTTGGGGCGTGAGGCAGAGTGTTTTCCCGTAAATGCCACTGGCGATCTGCAGATTATCGCAGGCGAAGGAGATCCACGGGTTGAATGCTCTGAGATCGCCGAGCTGAAGAGACGCCGCGGACTCGATGGTCGTGCAGGTATCGTCTGGCTGGAGTATGTAGGTTTGGCTGCACGGGAGGGGCAGGCATAGATTCAGGTTTGCCGGGATTGTGGAGCAGTTGTAGATCTGGTCTTGGTTTCCCATGTAGAGTGCTGCGGAGCTGAGGCTGTTTGCCTGTGCGATGGAGTCGCAGGTGTCGCCGTCGACTGTCGTGTGCGTTATTCCTGAGAGGCAGATCGGCTCTTCCTGCTCGGGTAAGGTAATGGGCGACGGTAGGATGTCGGTTGGCCCGGTCAAGCCGCAGCGCTGTTGGACAGTCTCGAGCACTGATTGATAATACTCGTCGTAAACGGAATATGGGGTCCGCTGCATCATCTGTAACCGCTCCACGTAACAGTAGGAGCACATTTCCGATTCCGGCATGGCGTCAATGCTATCCACCAAGGTGAAGTTGTCGATGACGTCTGGGACAGTGTTAGCTCTCATCAGAGAAGACAGAGATAAAGGATAAGCCGCCTTCGACAGGACTTACCATTGCAGTAATCCCCGGTCTGCGTATCTTTGATGCAGGTTTCGTTATAGGCTGCCCAGAGACGTCCGCCTAGCATGGGAGGCACTGCCCCGGTGATATTATACCCTGCGCAGTTCTGGCTCACAGAGTCGAACCACCGACCAAGGCTATCGCCACAGCCAGCATCGCAAATAGAATCCGTAAGAGTATCATTATACAGCGTACCATGATAACTCGGTTCCATGAACATGAGCATGTAAGAGTCGCAGTTTATGCGCTCCATGAGAGAAGTTTTGCAAGCCGTTGGCAAGTCATACGCCTCCAAGGCGGCGGAGGTATACAGCATGAAGCCCGGAAAGTCCCTTTGGCCCGCAGTTTGCTTTGCGCCATTCAGCCACGCCAGAATAGAGGCCAAGAACCCGTTCATGTTGTCCTTGGCGTAAGTTGGAACAGACTTGACCGGCGAAATCATCTCTACAATGGCCTTTGTGCAGAGATTATAGATCCAGATGTCGTAGCTCTCCTCGATTTCAAATCCACGGGCCTGGCAGCTTTCAGTCGACATGCAGTCTTGCGAATAATTGGAAAACCAGCTGTACAGGCCAGTGCCAAGTATATAGATAGAAGAGGAGTCGAGGATTCGCACAGCCCAGGCAAAGCCACAGGTGAGAGAGTCCGCTTCGCAGTTATCGAAAAGCGGGTCACTTGGGAAGACCCCGGTGCTGAATGGTGCTGGAGCCGGGGGAACAGGCTGGAAGTAGGGGGACTCGGTCTGAATCATAGCCATGAGAATGTTCTGAGCACCGGAGAGCTGGTATTGATAAAGCACACTGTGCTCCGACGCTGTTCCGTATAACCACGCCAGCTGACTCTCAATCAACACACCGCGGGCCGAATACACATCGATCTGATCCTGTGTGGTTACATCGAGGTCATGGTCTGCCACCCAAACCCAGATATTCTCTAGATATGCACTAGACTTTGGTGTCAGGTGTAATAAGAGTGAGGCAGCGATGCAATTCAGGTTGATGGCCCCGGACTGCTTAGGACATTGGTCCTTCTGGAGGTTTGAACCAATGGCACCGCCGACACGGACATGGGAGTCTGGTTCTGTCAGCTATTGCATGAAATTGGGACTCTGCAAACATACCCCACATTGCTGCTGATCCTTGCGATGATTCATGGATATTCCATTCCACGAGGATAGCTCCAGCCGTAGGCCCAGACACTGTGAACATCATATCCTGAATTTCAACAATACCAGTGTCCCCTGGCTGGCCAACCTGCACTGCCACATGTGGATTCTTCATGTCTTCAAACTTGGGGCCTGTCGCCATAATCTGAGACCATGCTTGGCCGATTATTCGTGAGCCAACTGGGACGCGCAACGTATCTTTAATGATGTAGACACCAAACGGAAAATAGACAACAGATGACAGATTGGCGGCCTGGGAGAGGATATTATTGAGCACAACTGTGTCATCGGTCTTTCCATCACCCTTGGCACCTAGTGTCTTGACATTCACGAACTGACTTGCGCTGAGGTCATCATACTTGGGTCTGCGGCGGGTATAAAGATTGGCCTTGACATAGGCGTTAGTGCCAACAAGTGCATCAGTGCGATTCATCACGGGAATATCCTGGCCGTTGACGAATGTCCCAGTGCCGGTTGAGTTGTCGACCGTCATACCAAAGCCCCACGAATCCTTCAGGACCTCGTTGCCACCAGCAAGAAGGACCTGCCCTGTAGCAGAATCTTGGATGGCTGTCTGGACGTTGAAGAAGCCCACATTCTGGATAAGGAATGAGGTGGAGTTCTCAGCATACAGTGAGGTGATAATCCCGTTGGGGGTGTTGGCAATAATTGCATCAGCGAGAACGATAGAGCCTACGCCCTGGCCGTTACTCATCGGACCACCAGCCTATTTCATCGAAGATCAGCACTACGCTTAACTCGTGGTTCGAGAGATATAAGACCTACTCCTCCAACGATGGTCAAGCCATTCTGGCAGCTCTCAATCACATAATCCTGCATGGTCCATGCCCAGTCCCAATGAACTTGGAGTGCCGTGCTGCAATTAACAAAGACCAGCTGACTCGTGGTGAACTGCTGGTTTCCAAAATAAGCTCTGTCATCCGTCAGTATTGTACGCCTGTATATGAAGTCAAGAGAATGCTACTTACCCGAAATTTCCGCCGACAAACGTCAAATCCGCGAGGAAACCACCGGAGCCGTTCTCCATGTAGATACCCTAGAGACGGATTAGATGCATTTTCTTTGTAATTTAGGTGTGCTCCGTGCCAAACCTGCTGCTTGTTTCCAGGGACATCGGTGTTGTACAGCATATAAAACTCGATATTCTCCAGGGATGTGCCCTGGGCGACTTGCCAGTGAATGGCGCAGATATAAGCAGACGGGTCGGTAAGCCGGATGTCAATCTTGAAATTCCGGATACTCCGCAGAAAGTTATTCTGATTAATGTACCTTGCGTTCATCAACATTAGTATATTCATTGTAGGTTGGAACGGCAATGATACTTACCATTCCTCTGTGTCGCCAACGTAGACGTCAGACGTGATGACGCCTAGGCCAACAAAACTGGATGCGGCGAGAATCGTAGGAACGTTTAATGGCTAGGCTCAATCTCAGCATGTCGAATCCTGGTATCAAAGGTAGAACGGCTTACATCGCCCAGAAACTGCGTATTATAGTACTGAATGATTGGCGAGCTAACCAGGTAGGTTCCTGCAGGAAACCAGACCACAGCCGGATAGATAGTACTAGAGCCGCAATTGGCACCGCATCGTCCTCCATCCGAGATAGCACGGTTGATGGCATCGGTGTCATCTGTGACTCCGTCTCCTACGGCACCATAGTCCCGAACGTTGCGCCAAACCTTGTAGGATTCCGGCGCGAAGGGGCTAGCACCGTTTTTCTCCATAGATGCCATCCAGTACTCGGTTGGGGCGTCTCGCTTCTCGATGGTGCCCGCAGTACTGCTATTCGCATTATATTCGATTGCGCTTGCGCCAAACGGGGAGTAGTCGAATAGGCCGTTAGGGCGGATCAAGGCCTGACGAGGGGTGTTCGTATCATTTCCCTTGGTCCGGTACTTCCTTCTCATCCGGGTCGCAACATCACTGTGATCTCCCTGTGGCTGCTGAGGGTGAGATTCAGCCATGATACGAGCGGCTTCTGCCAGCTCCGGCGGGATGGTGTAAGGAGCACTGCCATTTTGTTCTGCAGACTGCCGAGCCTTCAGAGTCACATTTCTGACCGCCGCAGGGCTGTAGTCCAGCGGTTGGGCAGTGGAGACGTTTTCAGTGGCCGATGATGCAGTTTGAAACTGATTCTTGTTGAAGTTGGGATATTCTACACGTTCCCGGTTGACGTGCGCCAGAACCGCCAACGCCCGCTGCACCATGTCTGCCGCATCGCTGGTAGTTGACGCATTCACTGCTCTTGGTTGATGGCCATGGTACTTATGATGCTGCATGTGTCCGTGTCCATGCAGCCCATCGGCGACAATTCCCACAGCCTGAAGGCAGAGAAGCAGAACTGTACGAAAAGAGACCATGTTGTGCTCCCGGGATTGGATGCGCAACCCAGCGGCACTGCTGAATGTGGGAGGGAGCTCTGTGAGAAGAGGATGGCCTTCCCTCAATTATGAGACTTGTGGGCTGCTGCCTTCCCTAGCCCGTTTCCGGGTTTCCCGACTTCATATTTGAACGAGTGTGATACAGTCTCGATTCCAGCATAGTTACGTTACAACACTACCTTAGCGTTCTCCTTAACTTGCCGTATATGAATAGCCCCCGAGGCTTGATATTTGTGGAGATTGCTGTCTCACTTCAGCCATTGTCAGCATTGCCGCCCATTCGCTGGATATTCTTCCATCAAGAGCCGGCCCCATCGTCTATACCTGGCCAGGAATAGGGCAAGGGGAGCCAAGAACTCCTCCCCGAGAGTTATCGTCTTGGCTGGCAGGCTACGGACCCTTAGCTCACTAAATAGTGTCTAAGCGTCTAGTACTGTTGCATTCCGCTCACGGATGTTCTTTAGCGAAATGAAGGCATCAGCAAATATCCACATTCGTCGAATGGAAGGTACGATATGCTGGAAAACGGCAAAAATTATTGGAGGATGGCTTTCCTCGCACATGCCGGATACCCGACCGACCATGAGAAGCCCCTGGCATTATTGAGACGAATCTGACCGGAGCAGGGAGTGTCTGTCTCGTCTGGCTGAGTATTTCTCAAGGCTGTAGACCGGAGAGAACCTGCATTCACTACGACTGTCTCGTCTGGTCGAGTGTTCTCAACGCTGTAGACCGGAGACAATCTGCATTCTTGCACTCTCGAGGTCTCTGAGCATCATCATGGGAACCCTTTATTCTAGGGCTCATCGAGTTCCTTTCCACCTTCTTGTGTGGTTGGCCTTGTTGTTTGTCTTCACAAAGGCCCAGGACTGCAGTAGCGCCAATCCCTGCGCGACTGGCTGCTGCAACAAGTTTGGATACTGCGGTGTTGGCGACGACTACTGCGGTGCTGATTGTGTTGCTTCCTGCGACTACAAACCGGATTGCGACGCCTCCAACCCATGCGCGACAGGGTGCTGCAACAAATATGGATACTGCGGCCTTGGCCCTGACTGTGAGTTCTGGCACTGTTCTGACACCCCAATCCCGCCCAGGCACTGACCCTTCAACCTTAGACTGCGATGCCGAAGTGTGTGTGGCCGGGTGCGACAGCAAATCGTACTGTGACCCCGGTGGTTTTGGGCAGTTCGCAGAGGTGTCCAAGTGCCCGCTCAATGTTTGCTGTTCGAAGTTCGGCTTTTGCGGCATGACCGAGGAGTTCTGCGGCGACAAAAAGGTTACACGGCCATCGTGCAGCAAGTCTGGAAGCTTGAACAGAGTCGTGGGTTACTACGAGGGCTGGACGGTCAAAAGACCATGCAATGTCTTCTATCCCGAGCAGATCCCCATGGGTGTATACACTCATTTGAACTATGCATTTGCCACTGTCGACCCGGTGACATTTGAGGTCCTTCCTGGCAGCGACTATGAGACCAAGCTCATGAAGCGGTTGACAGACTTGAAGAAAATTGATCCCGATCTCAAAGTGTTTATTGCCATTGGCGGCTGGACGTTCAATGATCCCGGTCCAACTGCGACCGTCTTCTCAGATCTTGCTGCATCTGAAGAAAACCAGCAGGCATTCTTCAAGTCATTGATCAGCTTCATGTCGACATATAACTTTGACGGCGTGGATCTGGACTGGGAATATCCTGTGGCTGACGACCGCAGTGGTCGACCGGAGGATTTTAAAAATTTCCCCAAGTTCCTTGCCAATCTCAAGAAGGCATTAAAGGCATCTGGTGGCCGGGACGGTCTGAGTATCACATTGCCTGCTTCATACTGGTATCTTCAGCATTTTGACATTGTGGAACTGGTCAAGCATGTTGACTGGTTTAACATGATGACATACGACTTGCATGGCACCTGGGACAAGGGCAATAAGTGGCTGGGAGAGTACCTCCTCTCTCATACTAATCTGACTGAGATCACGAACGCTTTGGACCTTCTCTGGCGTAACGACATTGATTCCCAGAAAGTTGTTCTTGGTCTAGCATTCTATGCGCGTGCCTTCACAGCTTCAGATCCAGGCTGCCTTGAAACCGGATGCCTGTTTGCCTCGGGGGCCAATGCAGGCAAGTGCAGCCACGAGGTCGGCATTCTTCTCAACTCGGAGATCATGGAGATTATGGACGACGGAGGTCTGCAGTCAAAGCTGGACGAAGACGCAGCAGTCAAAATCCTGACATACGACACGAACCAATGGCTCACATACGACGATGGCGATACCTTTAAGCTAAAGACCGACTTTGCGCGCAGCCAGTGTCTGGGCGGCGTTATGGTCTGGGCCGTTTCACACGATACAGCCGATGGCAAATTCAGTCTTGCGCTGTCCCAAGCTGCCGGACGGAAGGCAGTAGCGCTCGCTATGGCCGACACTGTGGATAACACAACAGTGAGGACCGTGCACAGTCAGTGCAAGTGGACTAATTGTGCTTACCCTTGTCCCAATGGCTGGTCGCGTGTTCCACGGAGCGACGATGGCGCCCGTAAAGACGAAATGATGGTGGATCAGTCCGGCTGCGATGGTATCGGCGTGCACCAGCTCTGCTGCCCTCCTGACGCTGAGCTGCCAACATGTGGATGGTATACGCATCATAATGGCAAGTGTGATCCGGCCTGCCCGGCAGGGACGGTCGAAGTGGGCTCGAATTCCATGTACTGCAACAACAACAAGTACCAGGCAGCTTGCTGCACCACCGGCACCAATAGCACAAAGCTGTATGCGCAGTGCTCCTGGGCAGACTGGCCACGCTGCGACGATGGCAAGTGTAGCAATACGGAGATTGCTAGTTCGACCACAGGAAGTGGTGGTGCTGACTGCAACCTGCGCTATGGAAACATCTTCGCCGACAAAATCGAGGTTCAGGAGCGCAAGTATTGCTGTGACAACCAGGCTGATGAGCAGTGGGATGATTGCCAGTGGTATACGAATGTTGGACTTGCTCCGGCCGGTCGCGGCGATGTCGAGGGATACTGTCGAAGCGGCTGTCCGGATGACCGAGTACGGGTCGCCATGGATAAGTATGGCGGAGGATGTGTTGGGAAGGGCGGAAGATCCAAGTGCTGCACGGCCAACTTTGTCACTCTCAGCAAGCGTGCCTACACTGATGATGAGGCGACACTGGCCGCAAACATCCAGGAGTTCATGCAGGATCAAACCTGTGGGTCCAACAGTTGGTATCTCAAGCGTGAGGTTGACTTCCACGTCGCGCATGGCAATCTGTCGGCCATGCCTATGCCTCGGTCGTTGGTGCAAAGGTCCAGCCTGAAGTCGCAGGAGGCGATGGAAAACCTGCTCTATGCCATTGCGGTGCAATACGGTGCTAGTACAGTCAAGCAAGACATCTGGAAGCAATACGTCCTCCCCGATTACCCGAATTTGACGGCAAATAAGATCCGAACTTGGATGCACGAGCAAACGATTTCCGTATCAGAAGGCTATTCATACCTTGTGGGGTCGATCGTCTGCAACCTTGCGTATTACAACGCTGCCTTTGGCGAACAGAACGCTATTTCGTGCGAATGTCAGGATAGCGACTGCTGCGACGGCGATACGTTATGTTCCAGCGATGGAGGATACGAGAGTAGCGACCTTGCAGCTCGAAGCATATTGCAGAAACGGGCTGGTTCTCGGTCGTTCAACCTTGAATTCGACGATGGGCAGACTATGCACTGGGTATCGCTGGGTGTAAGTCAATCTCCTCTCCATCTCCGTCAATGGGACGTCTCCTAATCGCGGGTATCAATGCAGTACTGGAGTCGAGGCCAAGTCCCCGCCAATCATCCCATAATGCAGCTAGGGTTTACATTTGCCGATCCAGCGGACTGCACGCTTCCAGACATCGAACCGGAGTCCCTGACTGTAACAACACGCAGTCGCTTCCAAGGTGCGCGAATTCCTTGCTATCTGGTATGAAAGACTAACTAGGGACAGTTGAACACGAGCTGGAACTGAACACGATTCGCCAATTCATGAGGGATGCGGCCAGGGGCGTACTCCCGTCCGGCGCAGTGGCTAGGACCCGCCGCATCGCAGTGTCCTTCTTCGTTCAAGCCATGAACAACCCAATCCTCACTAACCCTCCTCCGATGATTGGTGGAGACCAGTCCTATATCCCAATTGTCCGGGTGATGAATGCTCTCGGGAGCACGCGCAATAACGGCCATCTTGTCTTCCTCCTGAACGGACTGAACCGGATCAAAGTACAGGTCAGTGGATACTCTTCGTCCTTTCATTTTACCCTCTAATGTCCTTTAGATTTGGGTGGACAACGACCCGTACGCTGAAGACAATATGAACAAGTGGGTTCAAGACACAGACCCCTCAACAGCGCTGAGAGCCCTTCGATCAGCGCTTTCGATTATCTATTACCTGAACCACCCTATAGCCCACGATAACTGGATTGGCCCAGCCAACGACGCACGAGTGGAATGGGCACGCGCAGAGCTAGAATGGGCTGCTGCGGGCAACGGACGCGAGCCTGTTGTGGACTTCTGGGACGAATGGCTGCGAGATTTCATGCAGACTCGGACAACTCGGATCAGCCAGTGGGTTCAAACATGGGCCAGAACGATGCGCCGGTACTGGGGTGCCCGAACGGGAGATACTGCCACTCAAGTCTTGCAGACCCTAGCAAGCATATACATCAGCGCATCGGATCTGAGTATTGAATTGGGCGGCCTGCATCAGGAGCCAATAGACTAGTTCATCCTTATATGCATAATTCATACTTATTAGGCTTAATATTAGTGGATGAATTGTGAATAAGTATTTTTATGTCAATGTTAATATTGTACAAATGCCGAGGTGTTGAGCTTAATAAGTTATATATAATAGTGGACATACATTGATACCCCTAAGCTGACTCAATACTACCTTACCTTTATGGTACAGCACTAATTCAGGCGGTAATTTACACTCCCAGTACTCCGTACTAAATACTAACCTAAACTAGTTGCCTTGGAATTGCCTTGAATTACCTAATGTACCTGAGAGTCTAGCCAGTTATAATCCTGTAGTCCCCCAGTTTATTTTTCCTTCACTCACCCACCTTATCACTCCTCCTCACCCATCAACCATATACTTTTCACACTAATATAAATCATGTACCTCGAACCTGCTCGAGACCAGGTCCAGGCAGACAGGCACCGCTTTTCCCGCAAACTACTTGCCTACGTCCGCGAACGGCGTCAAGACACATGGGGGTGGGTAGTCTACCGCACGACCTACAAATCCGACGCCGCCTTCTCCAGGGCAATCGACGTCCTCAACTCCTGGATCAAGGCAGAAGTCTACCAAGACGCAGACCCGCGCTCCTCCGGCGTCCAAAATCCAGATCCCACGCCTAACAACGAGCTATGGGCGTGCCACCGCCTGACCATCATGGACGACCCGGCAACCCTCGACGGCGCATCCATCGAGGATGTGCGTTCGCATTTCGAGTCCTGGGTAGAAGGCCAGGGGCAGCGCGATCGGTGGAACAAGTACCGCGTGTGCATGGTGCTCGATGACGAGATCCTGTCGCTGCTTGCTCAGGTGCCGACTGCGGAGGAGCATGCGGAGAGGCATGGGCGGTGTGGGGAGGAGATCAACAAGTGGTATGTTAAGGTTGTGGAGGCGTTTCCGGATCCGGATGAGGGGGAGGG